TACTCACTTTGCTGCAAGAGCGCTAGCATCTAATTGATCAAACTCATGTTCGTTCTGAAGGCCTTCAAAATTGTATGGGGTTTTTGGTTCTTCAATCTTCATGTGACCATAGTCTTTGTCAGCGGGATGAAGGGTGGCGATAATATTCATCTCGTCCCATGTTGTTTCCTTACTCGGTCTACAGTTCATTAATATAAGATAAATAAAAAAATGGTGTTCATCGTCTAAAAATAGAATCTGTGTCAAGCAACGCTGGATAATGTCAATTATTTTATATCTTCGAGATATCAGTTTTATTCTTGCAAGTTCTTGTTTTTCTTTAAATTTAATGACTCTATAAGAAAGAAAACTATACACGTTTTAATATTTCGATAAAAAAAAGGATATTCGGAAAATTTTTAGTTTTTTAGGGTAGGAAAACCTCTTTCGCGAATTCAAACTGAGAAAGCGCGGAGATACATATATCTTGGAAGATCAAATTCGACTCGAGCATTTTGCCGAATTTGTCGAGATGGTCCGCGCGTGAACTCGCAATTTATAAATACCGGATGATTTTGCGCGCGTGACACGAGTCAGCACGCGAACCTCCGTCGTCGACTCAGGACGGACGACACGAGCAACGCCGGGATGATGCACGCGTCTCTATTTTTACGCGAGCGCGTAGAAATTCAATTAACACCTCTCTCACCTAGGCGCCTCCGGATTGTCAAAACTGCTGGACGTCTTGAGGATTCCTTTGGAAGGCCGTTTCGACAAGTTCTCTGCCATTATAATCGGGCGTAATCACGACGGTCACTCACGACGGTAATGCCGCGGCTGCATGTTTACCTATAGATTTCACTCCGGCTGAATAACCTGCCTGCGCTGGGTGACTCAGAATTCACTCGCGGCACATCTTTACGGTACGTTCACGCGCCCCTCGAGGGAGGGGGGAGGATGATCCTCTCACAGATCATAGACTTTATGAAGATAGGCAACTCATCCTCTTGCTACGGTCCGTTAGAAAGAGAAAAGAAATCGGTAATTATTTAGAATACGGCCTTCACCTCCGATTTTGATAAAATTGAGTTCAATCGATGCGGTTTCACTTAAAATAAAAGAATCTGGCAGAAAAACGCGGCGGTCTACCTCGCGAACCGAGGTATTTAGCGTTAAAATTGATCACTTTTTTGGTTAGGAAATCTGTCATACCGACTCGATACAGCGAATTGAGTGTGCGCAATGGTCATGTTGCTCGGTGACTACATACGCATTGTGTGCAGACAGATGCGCACGAAATTTATCACTGTGATAAGAGTTGAGTTAGATTATTCCTTTCGGTAGTGGAACCTCATGGGAGGGGGGGGGGGGAGGCGAAACATACTGTCTCTACGCATGCACTTTTTAACATGAAGCGAGGTTCCACATAGGTTTATAACTTTCTACGTAAAGTTTAACTCAAATCTTTAGTGATTATTTTTTAATTAACTTCTAAACAAAATTATTTTTAATATATAAATATATTTAGATTTTGTATTACATATAAAATATCAGCGCATGCGCACGTAGCTAAAGTACGTACATATAATGAGAAGCATAAATGAGGTCTTTTTTCGGTGTAGCTAGGAGTAGAGACACTATAATAAGAGACTGGCCACGACTCTGATTCGCCAATCAGAGACTCTGATCCGCCATGTTTTGACTAAATCCTACGAGAAAGAAAGAAATATACACCATCTCACTCTAACCAATAGCGATATTTTTACTTCGCATGTGCCTGATATAAGTGTATTGTGCATGTGTATTAAACACGTGGAAAGCGTGATAATATATTATTAAATAATAGAGATACTAAAATTGCAAAATATATTGCAACACATTTTTCTTCTAGTTATTTCTACAATTTTCACGTCCTGTACTTAGACTCAGATGAAAATAGCTTTTTGTTCGGCCCTTTCTTCTTCTCTCATTCTTTTGAAAAGATTTAAAATAATTTAAAACATGTACACAAATAATAAAAGACATTTGATTTATGGTAAACTATTTTTATTAAAAAATATTGCGTATAAACGTTTTTATATAATTCATCATGTTTTCAATAATATTTGAAAAATATCAAAACTGTCTTCTCTCTATTTAACGAGACAATTAAAGGACGATGTATCTAAAAATAATTCATACGCCAAAATAATTGTAATTAAAAGACGTCCAGTTTTCGACCTTTTCATTCTGTTATTCATTGATTTGTTCATAATTTATATTTCCTAGCTCTCTGCACTCTAAGACTAGATAGATGTTTAAAGAAGCACGAAAGAAAATACGAGAAATTTAAGAACAAAAAATGTAAGCAACACGATCGAACATAATATATCGCTCTATTCAAAAGAGAGATTCATTGTAAATATCATTTAGGAAACCTAAAACAATTGAAAAATCATAATATAAATATTCGAATCAAGAATTTATGATGTATGTATTTGAAATAGAGTGCCTAATAATCTTCAATATATCAGTGAAAATATATTAGTAAAAAGTTGTAATAAAATTAATGAAATAATATCTTACCTTTTTTATAAATACTACATATATTCTAAGCTTAACTGGGTCTCAAGTACATTTTGCTAAAATATTGAATAAATAAATTAATTAAGAATTAATTTGCTTTATTGATGTATCTAATCAATAAAGCAAATCTATCAATAAAGCAAATCTATATATATTATTAATTCTTTAGATTTCATAAAAAAAAATTTCTTTCCAAAATATTATAATAAATATTAGATTTTAAGTATAAAAATTATATTCTATATGTTTTCATCATTTCTTTATGATAAAATTTTTCTTTCTGGTTTGAGTTGTATGGTTTGCATGTAAAATGAAATGTATAAAACAATAAATGATTGGGAGGGCTATCTTCACACAGGTGAAAGTATATGGAAAAAACTATGTGGGAAGTATATGGGAAAAACTATGTAGGAAGTATAGGGGAAAAACTATGTGGGAAGTATATGGGAAAAACTATGTGGGAAGTATATGGGAAAAACTATGTGAGAATTAGATGGAAAAACTATGTGGGAAGAAGATGGGAAAAACTATGTGGGAACTAGATGGGAAAAACTATGTGGGAAGAAGATGGGAAAAAACTATGTGGGAACTAGATGGGAAAAACTATGTGGGAAGAAGATGGGAAAAATTATGTGGGAAGAATATGGGAAAATTTATGTGGGAAGAATTTGGGAAAAACTATGTGGAAATATGTGGGAAAAACTATGTGGGAAGTATATGGGATAAACTATGTGGGAAGTTTTTGGAAAAAAACTATGTGGGACGTATGTAGGAAAAACTATGTGGGAAGTATGTGAGAAGAACTATGTGGGAAGTATATGGGAAAAATTATGTGGGAAGTGTATGGAAAAAACAATGTGAGAAGTATGGGGAAAAACTATATGGGAAGTATAATCTGTGTGAAGAGCCCCCCAACATTGAAAAACATAAAGTTTCTATAGCTCATTCGATTGCTCATTGTTTGCATGTATGCACATTTCGAATTTTCATTTGCACACTTCTAGTAAAAAAGTTATTAACAAAACAAATTTCGGGGGGGCCATCTTCACACTAGCCCCCCAACTATGAGTAAATTAAATAAAAAATAGCTCAATTGATAGATATTCGTTTGCACATTGCCAAACAGGTCGATTTTTCATTTGCACATCTCTAGTTAAAAAGTTATTATCAATTAAAGTTTCAGAAGCGTGCGACTTCGACAGATGAAATAGAAACAAGAATGTTGTGCTTAAAATGGTATTATTCGATAGATTTATGTTTGCACTTTTCCGAACTTGCTTTATACCTGTCGAAATTTTGACGTCACGATGTGATGGCACACTGTACTCTGTTTCCGCTGCATTTCTGCTGTCACAGTGTGAAAGAATAAATATGCCAGATATTTACTACATTTTTGCAACATGCTTTGACGGCATATCATGCTACATTTTGGAGTATTTTCTGTTGAATATTGTGACAACACAAAATGCTTGAATTCTGATGTATTTATGACGACAAGTCTTTTTTCAATATTTACAGCATTTTTGCAGCATGTTGTGATATGCAGAGCTTGCTCGATATGTGCTGCTATTTTTGCTGGCAGTATCTGTTACAGCAGCCCATGCTGGATTACTGCTCAATTTTTGCCGGCATAACATGTATCATAACTTCGCAATTTGTTGCTTTTGGTCACGTTTTGTCTATTTGGGTATAAGCATACTCTTGATTCACGAGTTGTGAAAATATGGACATCAGAGAGAAGCCTGAGAGACATGCTCGCGATTTAGCTGTAACCTTATTCGCATAGATAATGTCCACGATTTTGTGATTCTCTTCCGTGCTAGACGCAAGGTTGATAAAGATGGACAGTCGTGTCTCTCGTGCATCTTAGAAAAACGAAAGAAGATCAATAAAATTAAACAACTTTATGTCTAATTTTATATTTAATTAGAACATTTATATTAGAACATCGAGAACACTTTGCGCGCGAAATTTTTTAACATTATATATTTTTATATAAAATATTTATATTATATACTATACTTGCCACTAAAACTTTATACAAATACTAATATTAACATTTATGCTCGTAACACAAAGTGAACAAAGCGAAAGAATTAATCAATAATCGCGGAAAAGCGTCAACAATTAAAGTCTTACACCATCTTTTTATAAATAGAATCTAACATAAAATGAAAACTCTTCTTAATATATTTATATATTATATTAAATTTTGAGTGGAATATTGAGTGTAAAAATTTGCAAACATATCGATAAATATCGTCGAAAATGTTTAGTATAATTTATTCTCAAAATTATATATTTCGCAAATATCGATAAAATATCATAATAATAAATTGTAAAATTATTACTATATAAATTGTTATTACGAATAAACTAGATTTTTAGTTAAAGACGGTTGATGAAAATAAAATCACGAGCAGTACTTTTTTAATCTGTATATTAAGTATGAACAAATATGAACAACACTTATAACATAACATTATCGAATTACATTGTCAATTAAAGTTAAGTACAAGTGACGCTATAGGTAGGCTCCAATGAAGCCTCTTGATCAATTCTTTGGGTGCTCTCGCTGTTGGTTACAAAATTCGGAACAAGCATTGGGTTTAGGTGGAAGAACATTCGATATTTTGGGAATACGCTCTACGATTACGCTCGGGATTACAGCAGCAATAAAGTGATGCCACTTTGTTAACGCAGAGGACGTTTTAATTTCTCGTGGTATCGTGTTAGCTGACGTATCTGCAATTATAAAAATCTAAAAAAAAAATCCACCATGATGTTTATCGAGTGCTTGGAGAAGGAGGAAGAACTCTCACAGAAAGGAGAGCTCTTCTTCTTTTGGATTCTTCCCATCCAGATCTTTGAGATTCTTCGATCGTCTTTTATGCGGCCACTTCGCTGGCCGCACACTTGTCGTACATTGCATCCAAGACTTGAATGAACTTCAGGTGACGTTCTTCCGGAGCGACAGTGGAACCACGGCTACCCCATAGAAATTTGATGTGGAATTCGGTGCGGAAGGCGTCCGACAACAATTCATCGCTCCTGCAACCCTCTAAAGCGATTTCTGCGTTTCTGCGAAAAAGCGGCAGACTATCGGCTAATTTGCGAGCCGCCTCGAGATGCGACCAGACGATCGACAGACCGCAATCGGATGCCGAGTTTTCCCATGGTGAAAGTATCGCTGCCGCGAGTCCGAAAGGTGCCACAGTGCCTGTGATAATGTTCTTTGAATGAATAACACATCGAACAGATGAAGAGAAAAAAGTTTAAAAATAGTATATAGAAAGATAATAATAAAATAAACGATAAAAATAAAATAAAGATTTAATATCGTTGTCCAGAAGAATTACAAAGCGAAGAGATATTTTTTCTTTATTCATTGATTAAACTAATTTGTTATTTTTTTTTAACGTAACATTTTTAACGAATAATTTTCATTTTTTACCTAAAACATCTTCGGGACCGCGTTCTCCGAGTAACGCGATCGGTAGCAAATGTGGTAATGTCGTATTAGGCGCCTGCGGATTTGTACACTCATTCATAGCCCGTAGAGTAGGCCTCAGTTTCGCTTCAAAACTGAAAGCTTCGTCCGTGTGCTTTTGTCGTAACAGGTGCCATGTATTGGCCAATCGTTGAATTTGCGGTAAGCACAAACCGAGCATTACGCCACAAAAGCCATAGAGATTGCCGAGTGCGGTTTTCGTGTCAATTGCCACTTTGATCCACTTGCTGATGGTAGCGGCTCTTTCTGCGGTATTAACAATTGTTATTGTATTTAAAAAAGAAATCACTGCAAGAATCACTGCAAGAGAATCTAAATATTCCGCTTCTAATGATTTGTCTTGTGTAAATTTTAAGTGTATTTTTTCATTGACTTTCGTAAACGCTTCAATCACAGTCAAAAGTTAATTAAAATCAAGAAAATTTATAAATTCAAATGGCTTACCTATAGCCGTGGCACCAGCCAGCACGGTGACAGCTACTAATAATTTTAGACATTCCGACCTTTCGATCAGATCCATCCTGGCTTGTCTACCATGAGGAAGGGTTGCTAGTTCGATGCCACTCAGTCCGCTTCTACTTCCTGATCCCGGTTGAAGTGCTACTTCGAGATCGAGCCTCGTGAGATGAGAGGCGAGCACTCGCGGTGCCGAATCCAGTAACATTCCCGAAACTCCCCTCAAGGCTGTAGGGTCTAGAGGCCTATGTTCGCCAGCTGGTAACAGCAATGTCGTAAAACCCTCGATGTCGAGCATCGTGGTGATTTCTAGAGACGGCGCGGCTACCACCAACTGCTCTTCTGCCGACAATTCGTACTCGCTGCTGTTGTTACCATTGATGCCATCGTTACTAGTGTTATAGTGGCTACGTATCACCACACCCTTGATTGGTACCGAAGACGAGGGGTTGCTGGTACCTCCAGAATTATTAGTTTCAAATTCGCTATCCCCCGATCCGTTTCCGCTATCGCTGCCGGAGGCCTGATAGCTCTGATGATGATGATGATGGTGATGATGATGGTGATGATGATGATGTTGATGGTTCGGCACATAGGGTATCCTGGGTGGTTTAGGTGGTGCCGTACTTAGGGTGTTTTGAAGATTCAGACTCTGGGGTTGTTGCTGTTGTTGCTGCAGGGCTGGATCTGATATCACCCGAGTGATCTTTTGGCGACCCAACGACAAAGAACAAGAGGGCGGTTGGTTCTGAATCGGCGGTACTCGTGGTAGGGTACTAGACTGGATAGGTAACTGCGGTCCTGTTTGCTGATTGTTGTCTCGAACGACATGCTGATCTGGAACGTGGTGCTGAGCGGTCAGAGAGTGACTGCGTTGTTGTTTTCTCGGTAAGCGAGGTGGCGAACCGGTCGATAGAGAAGAAGAGCTAGGACTAGAGCAATGTTGATTACTTGTAGGCCCTGCAACGCATGTCAGTGGGACCGATCTGGTTTTCGGAGTAATAATTCGGGCTCCGCTGGCCTGACTAATCGGTCGACCACTGCCAACGTAAAAGGTTATCAGATCAGCGACCGTGTCGAAGGCTTCGTCTTCAAATTGATACTGCGCTCTTTCGTAAACCGTGTCGGGTTGAATCACAACCTACAAAAAAAAATCAGATTATTTTTAAATCTTCATTTACATCGATAAACTGATTTTAAAGCGTATTGAATAAATTACATGTTTATTTATTGATAAAACAATTAAAAATAGAAAAATTTTCTGGTAAATTTTTATTCTGGTATTTTTATTTTATTTTTATTAATCTACAATATTTAATTTGAATATGAATTATTAAAAAAAATTAATTTATTTTGCTGATTACAAGACAATATAATTATATGATATTTTTGATCACAATCCAATTGTTAGGACTAGAATTTTGATTTGGCCATGCTAACTCACTCGATTAATGACGAAATGTAACGGTTGACCCTTCCATCGTACGGTTAGGACATAGTTGCCGGGTTGGGAGGCGCAGTCGCGCACCAAAAAGTCCCCGTCGTTCGGCACTTCCGCCTCCGCACCTTTCCGACCGCCGCGCAACGTGCTGCCATGGTACCAGGCGTGTGATCGTAGATCTCGAGGATCGAGAAGCCGCAATTCTCTTTCCAAGAGCTTACGAGTGGATTCTTCAGGCGGTTCCTTTAAAAAAAATCAGTAAAATAGAGTTACTTAAATTTAATTTATAATTGATTTTCCAAAAGTAACATATTTCCTGGTATGTATCTCTTCTTGAATGTAGCGTGTTAAGAAAGAAATTGAGACATCACGGATATGCGCTCGTTGTTAAACCGAGTAAAAAATATTCGATTAACATCGATCAAAAACTTGATCTTGTCAGTCCGAACTTTTCCAAATGATGAATCATTATTACTGTGAATTTTTTATTTGAATACACTATGCCGGCACGATCTCGTATTGTCGATTAATCATTCGGAATTAGAGAAGGCAAATGAAATATATCGCGCGAACGTTCCGCGCGTAAGACAATTGTAGCAATCAATGCTGGAAAGAGACCGGAGTCTGCGGTCCAGCAAAGATTGGCTTAACAAGAGCAGCCTTGGGTTCCCCGATGTATAGTCGTCAATCGTCTGCAACTCGTCATCGACGTCATCAAGTAGCTCGACTATCACACAACTCATCATCGCTTGTAGTCGAGTATATCTTCGTTCTATTTAATTGCTTCCTATATGTCGCGACAAAAGAAGCTAGCTTCGATAATTTAAATTCGATGATTACGCGTTTGATCGATTACGCGAATATGTGAGGCGTGATGAGGCATAGGAAATATTTCAAATATTGTAGTATATATTATTTACTGATTTTCTTCTCAGCTGGCAATATTTTTCTAAATAAAAATATCGAAGGAAAATATCACTTAATTTCGAGATTTTATTTTAAAAAATATATGTGATGTTAAAATTAATTGAAAATTGTTTGATGTAGCGAGGAATGACGTTGACATTTTCGCTAAATCGATCACAAATTCAGAGAAAACTAGATAAAAGATAGAGTGATGAAGTGTCAAATTAATCAAGTTTCTTCGTCCTCGTATGAATATTCATGGCTATGCGAAAATCGGATCTCCGTATTAAATTTAATTTAATCCAGCATTCGCTTCTTCAAACGCCAGTTATAACATTTGATCTTCGAGAAAGATAAATAGATACTCACCATTAGTGGAGAGAGATTGTTGCTCTTCTCGAGTACCTTCGTTGAGGGTGACTCCCGTTGACACGTCGGAGGATATACGCGGCAATCCACCCTCGCGTCGCTGTCCTCTTCCTCCGGCGTCCTGCGATCAGAACGGGATCTTTAGTCGCTCACATCTCTGTATCTCGTATTTTCTGACCTCCGATCAACTTCCCTCCTATAGATCCCGATTCCCTCGTCCAGGAGAGGAAGCCTCCGTGCGGCTCTTCGGACGGGCGGATAGAGTTTGACCGCGACTCTCGAGTTCAGAGAGAGAGAGAGAGAGAGAGAGAGTGCGCGCGCGCACGCACGCACGCCACCCCACTGACCATCAGCGCGATTCGAGCAGGATCGTATTTTCACGGAGTATCGCGGGGATACCAGATGATATTAATAGATAGCGGGAAAAGAGCGGGAGATAAAGAGAGAGAAAGAGGCGAAAGGAAAGATTGGTTGGTTGCGCGTGCCAAGGAAAATATTTTTTTCTTCCTGCCTGCCTTTGTCCATTCGTGCGCGCTGCCGGCGATTAGCTCGCGAGTTAAATCCGACGGAGCTGGTCTCGCGCGATGTGGGGATAACGTCGTTACGTCGGTATAACGAGCATGGAAAATAACGACTCGTCGGTCGCGAGAGTAGTACGCTCGTACATGTACGGCCTTTTAACTCGGTTAAATCGTCATCGTTTAGCATATAATTCAAACACGCGAGTAATTATTCGTTCCTCGCGTGAGAGCGGATATAATATTGCATATATCATTCGGTTTTATATATTTTTTTATATTCTTTTAATTCATATAAAATGTAAATAAAAAAATTATCTTGTGCATTTTGCATTTATTCGACGACGACGATCCGCGATCACCACGTATCTATGAACCCCCGATGATACACTACTGCGATGTTATCGCCCTCGTTCGTTTCCACCCGTTCCGTCTTCATACCCGCCCCTTCTTCTCGTCCATCAAAAGTCAGTCGCTTTGACAGACGACGAATATCGGAATACATGTGTGTCGACGATGGATACTTCTCACGTATCTTGGCGTATTGGAGAGATATAAGACGCAAGACGGAGTAAAAGAGTATCGCTTTTATCGCCTCCGACCGGGTTATTCCGTCGATACGGGGGGTTATTGATCTCCGCGGACAAGGGGCTGCGTATACGGAGGGGGTCGACGGCCAAGGTGCGCTTGCGTCACCCGGAAACGTTCGATAAGCGGCGTCATCGAGATGCACTGGCCGACGTTATGCTCGCTCGCATAAGAAATGAGACTTTAGTAATTCCTTACTCGATCCATTTTTATCTCAAATTTTATCTTCTTGCAATTAAAAAATTGGCTTTTAACGCGATAATTTTATATCGAGCTCTAGTTAGATGTTATCACACCGTTGAATGAGTCTCGTCAGAATAATCCGAAATATAAAAGAATATGCAAATCAATAAGCGTGTAAAACGACCGAAATGTAAACAAAAAAAGCGAGATTCGCGATTCAAAGAGAGATACAAAATTATTTATCTCTCTGCGGGCAGTACAGTAATGTCACCGACATAAAATCTCGCATGTGTAAATGTGTGATATTCGCGAAGATGCTGCCACCGTTCTGCTGACCGCCGTGCGCTTGCCACCGGGCTTTATCTCGCGAAAGCTGCCCGAGGGAAATGTATTATTCCACGTCCGCTTTCCAAACAATATCGTTTTAAGTTTTTACGCCGAAATAGGACAGACTCCTCTGTATGGACTGCCGAGATTAATCGCGGGAGAGATGTTTCGAGGATGATCGATACGTTCCTTTGATCCGTCAATCATTCCGTAACGTTTGAAGTTGGAGTGACGTTGGAGCGCGTATTTTTTCCCCCTGGAATAGGTCACGATCACCCCGAGAACTCGCATTGACATCTCTCGATGACAGGTGGATCTCGGCTTGTAGTTTCCCGGCTTCATTTCCCCGTTATGGAATTCCCGTATTTGTTGGTGCCGATCGTATATATACGAGAGCGCGTCATTCTGAAGGTAGAGATCGAGAGAAACCGGTTCGAGAGTCGCCGGACCCATTATATTCCCGTACCGGTATCTCGATGTACCTTCAAAGGAGGCTAATTCATAAGTTATAACTTTGGGCCTTCGACTTTAGCAAAAACGGCGTGTGTCCCATGCCCCGTATCTAATTCCTTATTCACCTTCGTTTATTCCCGCTTCTGGTTCCCGTCCTCATTTCGTATTCGGCACGTCACACTCCTCCCATTCTTTAATCCCTTCAGACGACGATCCCAAAGGGAATAATAACAAAATTCGTAAAATTTACTAATTTTTACGATTATTACGATTATACGAGCTTTTTATAAAAATAAAAATTTACTGCCAAAGTTTTCGATTTTCGGTCGCGCGTTACATATTCGTTATTTCGGATAACTAACATTTCTAACATGTACGTCGTAAATATTTAAATATTTTTTACACGAACCTCGAATTGTCCTCGATAGGATCCTCAGGCGATGGCGGGGTCACGATTAGACACGGTTCCTTCTGAATAATCACCTCCGACTGCAGGTGTATCGTGTGCCTCTTTTGCCGAAGATCCTTACACGAGTCCGACGAGGCAAGGCCATTCCGTTTGCGCCGTCGGCCGTTGGTACCTAGGTTCTGCAGAGTACCCATAGATGGGAATCGAAAGCTCCATGCTATGCCTGAATGTGCCGTAAAGAAATTTGCGTGTAAAAGTGTTATCGTGCTTCTCTCGAATCTTCGATCAACGAGAGATGAAAGTGTAAAGAAAAAAAGTTTTATGTAATAAAATTTAGAACTGAACGTGAACGCGATCCAATCTCGCGTAGCGAGACTCGGCGCTAATTGGTATCATTTCAAGAGAAAGCAAATTTCAAATCGACTTGCGAGAAGAACGAGGTGCGTATTTGCGTGTGCGTAATAATATATATCGCTCTCGCTCGAATTTCTCTCGTATTAATCGGTTTATATCGTTTCTCCTTCGCTTATCTCTCGAGACTGACAGTGTTTTCGATTTGCGACTGCGGCGCGCGCACAGAATCCGATATATCGGATTTGTAGCCGATGTGCAATTTTACGGTATATAAAACGGTTGACATTTCCATTCGCGCACCGATATAAAACCCGGCTGGCGTGGACACGTGAAGACGAAGATTGCATATATTTCACCGTACACTCACGTATGCTCCCGGCGTCTTCCAGCTTTACGGATTCCATTCTGGCCACCGTGTGTGTGTGTGTGTGTGTGTGTGTGTGTGTGTGTGTGTGTGTGTGTGTGTGTGTGTGTGTGTG